ATTACATCCTGTGATCCTTTTGTGCAGTCGGTTTGTCTTCTCATTTGCATTTCCACAGTGTTATCTTCAGGCACACCTTCACATCTCCAATCTTTCATTTAGCAAGGTAAAGGAAAAGCACGCCTCCTGGCTTTGATAGGCCTTAGACTCTTCTAAAGAGCTTTAAAAAGAACAGACTGGCAGGCGGTGGAGGGATGGAGTTTGGGAACCTGTATTTCATAATCACTTCATGGAGATTCTAATGCTGGCAGCCCCAATGGGACCTCTCCACCATCCACTTCAAGGAACCCCGGGCTAAGAGTATGAAGTACAGACTTCAGGAATCTGGAAATCCACATTTCCAGTCTGGATTTCATTCAATGTTCTGTGTGCCCTTGAGTGTCCTCAGGGCAAGCAGGGGTCTCTGCTAGCTTATCAGTAAGTTAGATATCAGAAAGCTGATTGGGGAGAATCAATGAGACATACACAAGGTGCCTGCCATTCTTCTCATGGTTGTTGTTCTAAAACAGACGAGGCAATATGGCCTTCCTGCTAGAAACAGATTCCTGCTCACTGCAGAAAGAACCCATGCTTGTTAGCATGGCGTCCAGGGGCCAGCTCCCTGCCTCCTCCCACACCGCCACTCTGGGCCGTCGCTGAGCTGTGGCACATCATTGTTCTCCTTGCTGCTGCTCTTTCCCCATCTTGGAGCCCTCACTGTCTTCTGCTTCAGAAACCCCAGCCCCTCAAGGACAGCATTTCTGTTCCCTTGGGAAACCATCCTGAGCACTCAAGAGCTTCGTCCTTCCCCCTCCATGAAATTCATTTTGTTTCTCCATGCACTCTCTTTCACTGCATCGGTTCCCTTGTAGGCCAAAAACAAGGGGGTCCCTTTCCCAAATATCCATTAAGTATCTACTATGTGCCCAGCACTATTCTCAACACTGGGGACCCTGTATGGACACAACAATGTCTCTGTCCTCATGGACTTCACACTGTAGTCAAGGGAGGTATACAAAATAAATGCATATTTATGTTTTATTTGTTAACAATGTTCATGGTGATGAATGCAGGGGAGCAGTTGTACCCAGGCCAGTCCGGGAAAGCTTCCTTGATAAATTGAGATTTAAGACCTGAAGGAAAGCCACGAGTTACCCATGGATATATTGGAAAACAGGTGCAAAGGCCCAGAGGCATGGGAACCATATACCAGGGCTTTGAAACCAAAAGGTTGCATTTCAGCTGAATCCCTGGGACAAATGTTTAACTTTTCTGTACATTGTTTCCTCATCTGAGAAACCAGAATGATAATGATGCCACTCTGCTTGCGCAGTTCCCGTGAAGGATCCATACATAGCATATTGTTCCTGATCCATGGCAGCACTCAGCACGCAGCTGTCTTCCTGCTGCCTGCCTCTCTGAGCATCCTCAGAGCCTGCACCTAACGCTGAGTGTGCTGTCTGGCATGCAGCAGATGCTCACATATTTGCTGATATGAATTGCAAAGGAGCATTTAGCTAAAATTGCTCTCTCTTTTAACAGGTGCTCTTCTTAGCCTCCTCCACTAAAAATGGTTTTCCTGTAACCACCCCAGCCCTGTCCCCAGTGTCAGTGTCAGCTTCAGAGGCACCAAGAGTGGGATCAGGAAAGTGGGTCTCTGAATGTGGATCCGGCCACCGCATGGACCTGATTCTCTGTGATTCTAGGCGATAACCCCTCTGGTTCCCATTATACTAATGAAGAGCTTAGTAGTGTTGTTGTTTATACAGATGTAAGCAAAGAAGAATACATACACTGTTATTTTATTCCCTGTGTTAATATGAAAGTATGTATATCATACATATATATAGGTGTGCAACCTCCTCACGTACTTTAAATCATTTCTAGATTACTTGGAATATCCAGTTCAATGCATGTACTATGGAGGTAGTTATTGTACTGTATTGTTAAGGAATAATGACCAGAAAAAGTCACATTTGGTCAGTACAAATGGAATTTTTTCCAAATATCTTTAATCAGTGGTTAATTGAATCTACAAATGCAGACCATGTAGCTACTGAGAGCCAACTTATACAGTTTATCTTTACCTTGTGTTTTTACTTAACAGCAAATCCTGAATGTTACTCTCCATCAGTACTAACAGAGACTTCTCAGTTGTCATTGGTGGAGCATGATGTCCAATAGAGAGTAGCATAGTTTATTTAACCATTCCCTTTCAGTGGACCTTGGTGACCCACACCCTCGAATAGGTAGTATTTTGGTATCTACTGCCCTATAACATAAAAATATTCTACTTTCTTTATCTTCCTCAAAAATGGATAAGATTCTTTAAAAACAGAGGCTATGAGTTTATTTATATCTACATCCACAAGACCCAACAATTGTTAAGGATACAAGACTGCAACATTGGTGAAAAGAGGGATTTTTTCTTTTAGAACTCATATCAATAACTACAGAATTATAATGGATAAATTACATAAAGTAAAGTATGGTGGATTATAAGAACATAAAATAGGTTAATGTCTTTGAGTCTGGTATAAGAGAGAAGGACTTCTCCAAAACTTGATATTTGAACTAAAGTCATAGTACCCAGGGGCAAATAAGGAGAGGCAGAGAGAGAGGGGAGGAGGGTACCATAGACAGAAGAAATAGCGTGTAAAAAGTGTGTGAGATTGAATGGAGCACTGTGCATTAGGAAAGGATATGAAACTAACTTGGACCAAGAAGAGAGTGGCAGACATGGAGCAGTTGAAAAAGTAGTCAGAAGCAAGACCACTAGTGCATCACAGCATGCTAAAGGCGTTGATCTTCACCCAAAGGCAGTAAGAGGCCACAGAAGCTTTTGAGGGGAAGAGGCATGACCTCACTGACATTTTAAGCGGTCATTGTGGTCACTACTGGGCAGAGAGCAGGTAGAAGGAGTTCAAGTCTAGAGCTTGAAATAGGACATTAGTGATATTGAAGGAGAGGAGTGAGCAGACCTGAGAAAAAGCAGATTGACAGGCCTGATGCCCAGCTGACAACACGAGGTGTCATGGGTGTGATCCCGTGTGCTGGCTGGGGAAATCACGGATGGTGGTTCTGGGGTAAATACCGGGAAATCAGGCTTACAGTGGAAGGGAAAAACCCTAAGTTTAACTTTCAGCATGTAGAATTTGAGCTCCCTTTGAGAAAATCAGGAAGAGTCTGGAGTGGCAGGAGGGACCTGAGCAGAGTTGTAAACTTTCTGCATGGAGATGATCATGATGTTTCAATGGTAGAGCCAAGTCCTGAGGAGGAGGAGGGAGCATGGCGGGCTCTGTGATGAGCCTTGGGGGTCTCCTGTGATCAATGGGTGGGCAGAGGGGAGAAGTCAGCAACAGATATGGGAAAAGAAAAACCAGAGTAGGAGGAGAACCAGGGTACATGATGCCAAGGAAGCCAAGGGAAATGCAGGCACAAGCTGAGCAGTGTGCACTCACTGGTGACCATCTGTGTGCGAGGCGGCCCACCTTCCCTCCAGCCAGTCCCTCTTTCCATGCATTGGTGTGTTAGGACCTTTACACTCTTTTTCCAAGAAAGCAGGGAGATAGAAGCCCCCTTTATTTGTTTGTCATTTTGGCATCTTTCTGAGCCAGAAGGCTGTGTTGAATTCTGCATTCCTTTTATACTTGAGTATAGTTGTCCTTAAGTGACACATGTATCATCGGTGGTATGGGCAGTCTACACTGACTAAATGTGGCTCATTGATGCTGTGGGAGAGTGGGATAGTTTCTCCTGTGTGCTAAAGCTCAGGACTGTACAATTCATTAGGTAGAAAACAGCTATGTTGAGCTGAAATAATCAGGGAGCCATAATTGTTCTATAGCCATAAATATAACATATTTTCTTATCAATTTCCATATGACTGTTCTTCCATTAAAATTCTTTTTTATTTTTAGGTCAAAAAATAAATCATAAATTTGTGCCTATCTTCTTATATTTTCTAGAAAAACTGATTTTTAACTTTTGGTAGGTTTATTTTATCTAAAATAATTTCTTCCCTCTTAAAGATCAAATTGGTTTGCTTTCTACCCGTTTTCATTGAAATAGCATCCAGGATACCGACATAGGGTAGATTTTCCCTCTATAAGAAATAATCAGGCCTGGGGGTATTAGCTCAGTGGTAGAGCACTTGTTTAAACATCCACCTCCAGTGTGTGTGTGGTGTGTGTGCGTGCAAATGATACATGTGTGTGTCAGAGAGTCATATTAACTGAACAGCAGAAAAATCACTTGTAGTCTGAATAATCACAAGCAATAGTCTGATAAATTAATTGTATACAAAAATAATTACCTGCATCCCTCCAGATGGAGGGATGAAAATCGGTCATTAAAATAAGTTAGGAGAGAGTTATTATTATTTAGGATTTGAAAGGGCCCCCCAAAAAAGGATGACAAATAGGGCAGAATCAAATAGATGAGAATCCAGTGATAAGAAAGGCAAAATGGAAAGGGAGGAGGAAGGAGAGATGGGGTGAGAGACGTCATGGTGTTTCATTCATTCACAGAAATCAACCGTCTTTGTACATAACTGTAACACTTCAGAGAATGGCACTCCTAAGGCCAGGTCTTTACCTGCTATGTCAAGACGTTGGCACTTCAATTCACGAATCCTATTACACTATCTTAGTATTCAGGTACTCACAAGTAGAATTTCCTCTCTAAAACAGTCAAAAGACTTTTAGTTGTATCTCATCTTCCAAGAAAGCCATAAAATGAACAATGCCAGTAACAATTACAAAGCTCAATTGGCCTTAGAAGAATGAAAAAAATCAATTTTGCCAGTTTATGTTCATGGTAAATAATTTCCATATAAATGATGTGACTTAACTCAGTCTGGAAAATGTGCCTGTATCTTCTTTGTTTCTCATAGCTGCAGTTGCAAGTTCTGTAGATGGGTGTAGGTGGGAATATTTGAAGGCATGTTGGTATATGTTGCAGTTTTCCTAATTATAATTATCTTTCTTTTCTTTCTGTCTTTTTTCTCTTTTTTTTGGCAGTATATCAGCTACAGCAAGAGGCACCTCGTCCCAAGAGGATCATTTGTCCTCGGGAGGTCAGTGCTCAGTTATTTCCAGTACACCTTGTTAAATATGATGAATTTGTCAGCACTATATGTTTATGTCAGGGGAATTTCAGGTTTCCTAGGAGTTGATTTCTATTAGCATTTGTTAGAGTGTCGCTGAATTTAACATCTTAATAGTCTATATTTTAAAATCAATTTCAATGTTATTTTAAAAGTATTTACAGACTAATTTAGAATCAGATGTCTTGCATTTTTAACCACTGCAGAAGGAATTATATATCCTTTGTAAATTCCCAAAATGTGTATTTTGGTCAGGTTATTTTTTATTACCATAATTTTCATTCTTTTATTATTTTTAAATTGTGAAATATTTTCAACAGAGAGAATAAGTATTGAGGTTTAATATTCATGTTTAGCAAACCTTTATGTGTTGCCGTATTTATATAACATTTGAAAACAAAATATCTTTACGTGAAAAGTGACAGGGTTTTTAAGTTTAGGGAGCAGCTGCAGACCTCTCCCTACCCTGGCTTCACCAGCTTCTTTTCTAACCACCTGGAACACCAGGGAGATTTGAAAGGCATGGCTAAGGCTCGATTTTTCTATTTTTATCCTGACCAGATTCTTTAATACCCAAGCTAATATCCTTCGAACTAAAGGCCCATGAGCCCTTGCTTGTTTTGTTATGACTTTGATGAAATATAGAGTAGCAGAGAGCTTTTAAAGTAGTGTGGATGCACACTCTCCGGGGGAAGGGCTCCGATTCCAGCACTTTTGGGAGGGAACCTTGAACTTCAGTGCTTGCTGGGTCTGGTTTTGAACCTGTTTCAAAGACTTAGATAACTATCCAGACCTATCTTACCACAGTTCAATAAATTTTTCTATATCAAGTTTTCTCCTATGGAAGATGCTTACATTCATAAAGCTATCTTGTGTTTAATATAGAATAGAATAGACTTTTTCATCCCAGGAATATTGCTGATGATTATGAAAAATATCCATTATGAGTTCCAATTTATTTAGTGTCTCTTCTTGTATCATTAGCTCTGCATTCTCTTGTTCTTTGGATATTCAGTAATATTCAAATAAGGAAAAATAAGATAAATACATAGACATAAATGAAATATACCACTTAAGGGTTTTTCATTAAAAATTATGAATCAAGTTACTCAAAATTCTTCTGCTCATTCATTGTTTCATTCAGTGTTTCTCCATTAGAAAAACTATAACCGTGTGCAGTGGTGCAGTGGGCTTAGATATCTCAAGGAAAAGAATATTTGTGAAATTAGAATGTAACTAAGACCTCTATCTAGAGTTATTAACAAGAATTCACTAGGCAAGACTGAGCACCAATGTTTGAAACCCTAGGGACTGGTAAATATTCATTTATTCATTCAGCAATACAAATGGAGAGTCTGCGTCTTTCAGCTTTTGTGTAGGAGGTGTTGGAAATACAACAAAGAGTCTGGCTATTGGCATCTTGAGCATTCATAATGAAAGAGAACAAAATTATGATGTAACCAAATACATATTTAAGGTTTCACCTCTGGGTGAGTATAGGGGGAGTGCAGGAGGAGAGGGTGGAAAGGAGAAGGAGATAAAAAGAGGGAGGAGGAGGAGGAAAAAGAAAGAAAGTAAGAGGAGAAAAAGAAAGAAAGAGACAGAGGCTCTTTGTTTCCTAGAATCCTCACAACCATGTCAATTGCCTTTTGAGGCAGATGGACTGTGAGCAGATGAGATGGGTGGATTCAGGTGTTTATCAAAGAAACTCTTCCTAGTGTTCAAGCAAAACTTTACAGACTTTCAGTGGATGAAGAGTGAACCATATGTTTATTTAATGCCACCCAGCCATCACCATCTCCTATAATTAAAAGGTTATAGTGCATATGTAGCGTTTCCCCTTGTCTTGTCTTCTAAACCAGTCTTTCAACCTTTTAGCCACATGAACCAATGTGATTCACTGATAAGCAAGGCCTGGTTGATGCTTGACACATAGGTTGATGGCCTCTAGAAATCTCATGTCCCATTTCTGCTATGGAGCCTGATGTGAATTTTCATCAGCTCTGCGTCCTCAGTAGACAGCACGAGGCCCGGCCAGCCAGCAGGTGTAAGCCAATAAAGTTTGCTGGAAGAACGGGTACAGCTCAGATGAGTGCCAGCTGACAGCTAGGCCTTGACTCACATTGTCCTCTGGTGAGATGGTAACCGCAACTAATTCCTGCTCAAATCGCTGGGCCTCCTGGGACTTGATCCCCTGTGAGTGGCGGCACTGCCTTGATGTTAGATGCAGGGGAGATCATTGCTCCTGCCATGGGCAGTGTTTAGTTAAATGTCTTTTCCTTGTCACATACCTGCCAGCTGAGGGTTTGTGCCTCATGAAGATAGGCAGCCTCCTGTTAGAGTAAGTGGCAGTAAGATCAATTGATTAATACATTTGATTAACACTTGATTAATACATTTACACAATCATAGCCTCTTTTTTGTTGGAACAATGAATTATGATTCTGGATGTATATTTCTTCTTTAATCTCTTCTTAGCTAGCTAGGAAGAGTGCACATCTTCGTGTTATACAAAGTTCTGCTGTCTTTCTCCATAATCCCCAGCTCATAATCCCCACCTCCTCTTCCCTGGTCCTGCCTGGTGGCTGTAGTATCTCCATTCTCTGTGTCTCTCTGAGACTCCCTTCCTGGACTATAGTCTCTCCCAAGATCCTCAAGTTCACAGAGTCAGTACCCACATTAGAGTGCCAAGTGAAGTGTGCACTGCAGAGATGGGAAACCCTTATACCACAAGGTAAAGGCTCAGGCAAACCTGACTAGGTAACTGATTGCTAGGACACACACCAGCTTCATGATGAACTCTACTGGGAACTGGGTAACACGAGGATACAGATAAATTCAGCAGGCAAAATGCAACAAGCTGGAAATTGTAGAATGCAGGTTGTTCAGCTGCACAGTCAAGTTGGATTTGTCTTGACTTCTTGTTCTGCCAGTGCTTATCTGACCTAGAGCCAGCCACGTACACCCCCATGCAGATGAAAGCCAAACCCAAAGGTATAAACATCTACTTTGCAGCCAAATGTCTACTGCCAAATGTCTACTATGGTACCTGACACATAATAGCTATTTAACATACATGATTCAGAAACTTGTAAAGCACAGGCTCAGAGACAGTCACCGGGAACAGGCAACGGGATGCCCTGATACAAGGGCAAAGTGGCGGAGATAAAGAACAAAGCTAGACACCCAGGTCAAAATTTAAACCACCAGAAGAAAAGATACTGAGGATAAGGAACAGAAGGTGCAAGCAGCTGAATAATGGCACTGGTGCCAGGTAGGTCAGGCAGGTCAGCTGCTGTAATAACTGCTCATCGCTTCTTGAGATTCATCATTGTGAATTAATATTTATTGAGCCGCGGCGGCTCCTGGCACTCTGCAGCCATATCCTGAATGCTTCTTGCCAAGAGATTCAAAACATTTTCCAGGATTCAAAATTCTCACCTGCCCTTTCTGTCCATTATCAATCAGCCAATTCATAAGCATTTATTAATTGCCAAATGTGTGCCTGAGTGTTCTGCCAAGAATCGGGCGGAATATTGAATCCCAAATTTGTTTTTCTAGCTAAGACCTCCCCCCTGGGGCCCAAACATCTCTCTCCATCTGGCTGCTTGACCTCTGCAGGTAAAAGGCTCTCAGGCCTTCAGTGACGTTTGACATAGATCTGGGCTCTCTTGTTCCCACCCTCACCCCGTTCTCCATTATAATGAGTGTCAGTTCCACCTGCGGTCTGCCTTGCATGCGCCTACTTTCCTTCACTTCTGTGACCAACTGTATGTTTTCTGCCACTTGTCCAGCTTGGACTTGTTCAGATCAGCAACCCCCACCTGACCTTGCACTCTTGACACCTTCTGTGCAGCCACATTATCACACACACACACACACACACACACACACAGAGTTGCAGTCTAGTCATGTACCAGGAGCCTAATCATTATTTTTTCCATTGTTGAATATAATTCACACCTTCCTGTAGCTTCTCATTGCCCTTGGAATAACAGTCAAACGTTTTGCTATGCTTGTGAGCCACGGTGCAGCTTATGCAATAGTCTGTGTTAGCTTTCTTAAACCGTCCTGCCTTTCAGCTTTACTGTCCTCTGTTCCCATTTATTGAACAAACCAGTGTTGCTACCATAGAGCCTCTGCACTTTCCTTTGGCTAGAATTCTTGTCCCTGGATTATGTATGTCAAGGTTGCAGATCAAATGTCACCCAATAATGGAGGTGCTCCTTGAACCCCATGAAAATTAGCACCTCTCTAACACTCAGTGAAGTCGTATGTCCTGTTTATTTTGTCTGGAGTACAGTAATCCCCTCCTATTTGAAAGGCATATGTTCCAAGATACTCTGAGTCTGACTAAAACATCAGATAGTACTAAGCCCTCATATCCTATACTAGGTTTTATACATATATACACACCTATAGTGAAATTTTATAAGTTAGGCACAATAAAAGATGAACAACCATAAGCAATAATAAAATATAATAAACTGTAATACAGGTTGTTTTGAGCTTATGTATGGTTTATTTCTAGAATTTTCCAGAACATTTGCACATGATGGTTGACTGTGGGTAAGTGAAACTACAGAAAAAGAAAACACAGCTATGGAGTGAGGAGGTGTTTGAATGTTGCTGGCATCCCCGTCCCGGAGGAGTCATGCTCCAGGAACCTCATCAGTTTTAATCATAGGTATATCCCTGACATTGAGAGTAGCCCAGCATCAGTGGGTAATCCTTAAATATAGAGAAAAATGATGGAAAAAATGGATAGGGAACGCTAACGTAAGGAACTTAGAGTCCTCAAATTATTACTAATAACATATCAGGTTTACTCAATGCTGTTATTAGGGTAGCCAGTTGGACTTTTGGCAGTTGTTAAGGTACTTACTTAAACGCAGACAAATATTTTTTTTTTTCCTGGAATAATCCAAGTTTCTTTCTGGTCTCTCCAAAAGGCCAAAATGTCAAGATTT